CTTTTTACAATTCATTTTTCCCTCTCTGCGTCATGTATTATGCCTCGCTACTTTCATTTTTCTTCCTTTATATCTTAAATTGTATAAATAGTTGCAAAATAGTTATCTCAGTTAATGAAAAAGCAAATAAGAAATCAGCAAAAGATAGACAACGATGCAATAGTTTAGCATTGCATATTTCAAGTGCAAGTAGCATGCAACAATTACCATCCATATGGCAATATTCCACTAAGCTGACTTCAAATTGGAACTAGCAATACTTATCAACAGTAAGATCAAGTTGATCAGCAGCCAGTTGCCCAAGAAGCAGTCATTTTCGGGTGTGTTTGGGTTGCCACCACATTTTTTTTAATTCCCCGTTGTTGTTGCTTTTTCTGTTTTGTGCTTTAGAATGCACAAACATCTCAATCATTTTCCAACGTGTTTGGATTACCAATGTAACCCACATTTTTTCAATTCACCAGTATTTTTTTTCTGGTTGTGTTTTAGAGTGCTCAAACGGACGTTTGATGCCTCTGAAACGACAAACTAAGCACACCCTTCATCTCCACATCACTAAACTTTTATTAAGAGAATAAACTTATATTATTGATGAAACCATAAGATGAGATAATGAAAGCTCACAATTTAAATATCAGCATACTCACTCAGAAGCACTTCCTTTAATTCCTGTAAAGTCGAGAAAGATCTAGGGAAACCTCCAATTTGCTGAAATATATAAATAGGATCCATGCAAGAGTGGGGAATACAATTCCAACATCGGGAACTGTGAATACACAGGTCATTCCAAGTAGTAGTTATTAGATTCTCCATTTGTCCAGCCCTGGTAAGATTATTTAGTGGTTTATCATAACGCTCCCAAACCGATTATTCTTCCAATCTACCCTAGTTTCTATAACCCTCTTGTGAACGATAATTACTCTCTCAGGAGCTTAGAAGATATTTATGCAAACAATGACAAACATCCTCGAATTACCGCAAAAGCCTTCAAGCCAACAACGATCCAGAATTTTCGGGTTGATATTTGGTTCATTACGTAAAATTGATGTTGGAAAGAACAAGAACAGCTGTAGCGAAGAACATTGAAATGTTAGATAATCTTAAATTTTAGAGATATCCGAGTTATGAATCATTCTTCAGCAAATTCCTCAAGAGTCACCGAATTAGAGAGAAAGAGAGAGTGCCTTCAAAAACCCTAGAACTAACCTAGTTCCTACCTTTTGAAGTGAGCAATCTCTTGATTGCTTAAGCTTGGATGCTTCCATCCTTATCTTAGGCCTTTTCATCATTATTTGGGCATCCCTATTGGGGACAATCCAATAAAGTTGATCATGTGGAGATCTATTTTGGATAATATCATAAACAAGCTTGCACCTTGGAAAAATAAGTTTATATCTATGGCTGGAAGGGTATGCATTATTAATTCTGTGTTAACTACGCTTCCTCTGTACTTCATCTCATTTTCAAGATGCCAAAAAAAGTGGTAAATAGTATTGTTAAGATCCAATGAGCCATCTTATGGGGAGGACAAGAGGATTCTAGGAAGCTAGCTTGGGTAAGCTAGGACAAGATTTGTCGCCCAAAAAAGAATGATGGATTGGGTATCAAGGATATACAACTATTCAAAGAGTACTTATTAGGAAAATGGAGGTGGAACCTATTCCATCAACAGGGGAAATGTTTGTGGGCTAACATTCTGAAATCAAAATATGGTGGATGGGAAACCCTTGGAAGGGCTAAGGATGGACATAATGAATCCATTTGGTGGAGAGATCTTAAAAAGGTATGTAGAGGTGGGGTTACATCTAGCTGGTTTGACAAGTCCATGCGATGGAGACTAGGTGAAGGGGAGAAGATTAGATTCTGGCATGACAAGTGACTGGGGGATGAATCTTTGGTTGAATCACACTTGAGACTGTTTTTGATCTCTAATTAGAAACAGAATGTCATAATGATGGAAGAGCATGGGCTAAAGGCCCAACCACTAGAGCTATGGCCAGGAGATTACTTGAAGACTTGTCAGCTTCAGAGCTTAGTGGGCCCAATGGGCTTGGTGGGCCTAGGGTGCTTCTCACTTGGACTCTACTTGATTAAACACCATGTTTTTTAGCTCATTCTTAGAATAGGAAGTTACTTTGTTTTGGTCTTGTATTTTGACCATAGATTAGGGTTTATGAGTTTTGGGCTTGTATTTGGGCTTCTTGGGCTTTGGACTTTTGATACCCAATATTGGGCTCATTTTCTTTCTTGTAATTTTTCCTATTTCATTGTATTACTTTGACCATTGTATTTAGGTCATTAGTCTAGGAATTAGGAGGAAAACTTGTTAATTAGGATTAGGTTAAACTAAGTTTAATTTAGCTTGCATTTAAGTTACATTTGGAGTCACATGGATGGCGCCACCTTGGCTGCACATGTGTGACCTAAATGTAACCCTAAATTCAAGTTAAATCAAACTTAAAATGCACTTAGCAACTATGTGACCGGTGACATGCATGTGGTGTGAGATTTGAATTCAAATTTTCAAATTTGAATTCAAATCTTGGCGCCACATGTGAACCCTTCACATTGGCGCCAAGTAGCCTTCAAATCCGGTCCTATTTATAGCTTCCCTCCAAACATTTGTAGAGACTTTTGAATATATTGAATTTTCTGAATCATTCTTCAGCAAATTCCTCAAGAGTCACCGAATTAGAGAGAAAGAGAGAGTGCCTTCAAAAACCCTAGAACTAACCTAGTTCCTACCTTTTGAAGTGAGCAATCTCTTGATTGCTTAAGCTTGGATGCTTCCATCCTTATCTTAGGCCTTTTCATCTGAAGAAGTTCTTCCTTCCAAGAGTTCTTGTTTTCGGTCACAAGTTTCCTTGAAGTGGATCCGAGCTTAGGTGCAGTTAATGTTGAGTTTAACAAGAAGTTTTGTGAAGCGTGTGTACTCGGAAAGCATTCAAGAACAAGTTTTCCGAGCTCGTCCGAGTACAAAGCAAAGGAGCAAGACATCTACAACTCCACTGACGAATTACATGTAGTATGTCTATTGACAGGAACAGAAGATACAAAGTTTGAAGAGGCGGTACTTGATAAGAGATGGAAGAAAGCAATGGATGAGGAGATCGGATCAATTGAGAAGAGTGAGACGTGGAAGCTGACAGATTTACCCACAGGAGCTCGGCCAATTGGTTTGAAGTGGGTATACAAAAGGAAGACAAATGCAAATGACGAAGTGGAGCGCTACAAAGCTCGTCTTGTCGAGGGGTTATAAACAGCAGAAAGGCATTGATTATGATGAAGTCTTTGCACCCGTGACAAGGATGGAAACGATTCGATTATTACTGTCCTTAGCAGCTCAGCATGGATGGAAGATACAACAAATAAACGTGAAGTCAGCATTCTTGAATGGGGTGTTGGAGGAAGAAGTCTATGTGGAACAACCTCTAGGGTACATGAGGAGAGGTGAAGAGAAGAAGGTGTTGAAGCTCAAAAAGGCTTTGTATGGTTTGAAGCAAGCTCCTCGAGCATGGAATGAGAAAATAGACACCTACTTCAAGAGAAATGGTTATGAACAATGTCCTTATGAACATGCTCTCTATTTGAAGAAGTGTAGAGGAGATATATTGTTCGTTGCTCTATACGTGGATGACTTGATATTCATGGGAAGCAAAGCTCAGCTAGTTGAGGAGTTTAAAGAAGTGATGAAGAGGGAGTTTGAGATGACCGATTTGGGCATCATGAAGTACTTTCTGGGAGCTCGAACACGTAGGAAGTAAAGAGCAAGTAGCTGATATCTTTACAAAGCCATTGCCGACAACAACATTTCAGGAATTAAGGAAGTTACTCGGAATGAAAGAAAAAGTAGAAATTTAAGCTTATGGGAGAATTTTGTTAGATAATCTTAAATTTTAGAGATATCCGAGTTAGTTTATTTGTTTTATTTGTTTCAATTTAGATAAGATAGTTTTTTATAAGATTTGTTTTGATAAGATATTTTGTTATCTTCTTGTTAATTTGGTACAATGGCTATTTAAAAGTCATCTCTTATTCAATAAAAAGTACAGTGAGTTGCTACGTTCACTCAATACTAGTATTACTCGTCTCTCTTAGTTTTTCTACATGAAAGGCCTCAAAGGAAACTTCTTCCGAATTGACAGAAATAGGAGCATCCTCAAACGGCTTTATGATAAGAGAAATTCTATGGTACCCATCTTATTTGAGAAGGTACCGGTACAGTTTTTTATATTTTATATTTTTAATAATTTATTTAAATAATATTTATGATATTTTATTCTTTCAAATTTTAAATTATTTAGTTATTTTATTTTTATTTTATATGTTCTAATTTATTTGTAATAATATTATTATATATTTAAATAATTTAATTTTAATAATTTTTTAAGTATATTTTTATCTTTTCACTTAAA